GGTCAGTTTTTTAAAGATTTTAGCCTATATAGGCATATAGTGGTATTTCATTGTGGTTTAATTTGCATTTCCCTAATGACTAATGATGTTGAGCATTTTTCCATGTACTTATTTGCCATCTGTTTTTTGTTGTTACTGAAGTGTCCCTTAAAATCTTTGCCTGTATTTGTACTGGATTATTTGTTTTCTTATTATTGAGTTTTGAGAGTTCTTTATATATCCTGGATACAAGTTCCTTGTCATATATGTGTTTTGCAAATTTTTTTTCCCCAATTAATGACTTGTCTTCTCTTATCAGCGTCTTTTGAGGAAGAAAAGTTTTCAATTTTGATAAAAGTCTAATTTTCAATTTTTTCTTTTATGGATTGTGTTTTTGGTTTCACACCTAGGAAATCTTTGCCTAACTGAGATTACAAAGATTTTCTCCACTGTTTTCTTCTATAAGTTTTAGAGTTTTGGGTTTTATATTTAGGTTCTATGATCCACTTTGAGTTAATTGTTATATATGGTGCAAGGTATGGGAGATTCTTTTTATTTTTTTTACATATGGATGTACAATTGTTCCAGCACTGTTTGTTGAAAAGACTATCCTTTCTTTATTGAATTGCCTTTGCACCTTTGTCAATATATACATAAGTCTATTTTTGAACTCTCTATTCTGTTCCATTGATTTGTGTGCCTAGTAAACATTGCTTTCTGTTTGAATATGGTTGAATATGAAGAAGCAGCCAAGAGAATGTACTTAGTAGCCAGACTGCCTAGGTCTCAGACTCAGCTCAAACACTTACTAACTTTGTGACCTTGGGCAAGTTATTTAGCCTCTGGGTGCCTAGATTTTTCTCATCTGTAAAACAGAGATAATTATAGTACATACCCCTCATAGGGATTTTTATGAGGATTGAGTGAATGATTATAAAGCAATTAGAATTGTGCCTGGTATCTATATAGTGCTTCTTATACTCCTGAGTCTTATTTTGGTCTTCTACCCAGACTGGATTTCCATTAAAATTAACAAATTCCGTTATTTCATCTCAGATTATCATTATGGAAGTTTAACCGTGGAGATGAATTTTAATGAAAAATTTGCATCACTGCTCAGTAAAAGAATAAGAGGTTCACTTTTATTTTCTGTTAGGAAAATAATACTTAACTTAGTTTAGTAGCTGTTATCAGGTGAATTCCAACTCCTGAAATGTTTCTTTGATTTTAAAAGTATATCCACTACCTCTTAAGGATTGTAGTAAGAAATACAGCCTAAACTAAGCTCACTTCATAAGTGGCTCTTGTGAAAAAGTAGTTTAAAACATGACCTTTCCATGTTTGTGATTTTAGGCACTTGATTTGAGAACCAGTAAGTTTTGCAAAATTATTATGGTACTAAGCCACAGCTTATTATTACTTTTTGTTTTGAAGAACTTTTAGGAATTGTTGAGAAAGTACAGCAACATAAATCCTAAGTTTCTCCTTTGTAGACCACATTGACAGTCCAAATAACTTTATACTATAGAACTCTTGAGCTATAGAATCTTTAGCTATGGGATTAGTTTCTTCCCATGAACTAGGAGAATTGAGGTGTCCAGACAAGATACTTAGAATAATAGTAAATTACATTTAACTCCTCAGCATTGGCATCTGTTTTGGACTGAATATTTGTGTGTCCCCTCCCCAAATTTATATGTTGAAGCTCTAACTCCCAGTGTGGCTGTATTTGGAGATGGGACCTCTAAGGAAGTAATTAAGGTTAAATGAGGTTATAAGGGTGGGGCCCTGATCTGATAGGATTAGTGTCCTTATAAGAAGAGACGTTGGAGAGCTTGCTCTGCACCCACAGGAAAGGCCATGTGAGGATACAGTGAGAAGGCAGCCATGTGCAAGCCAGGAGGAGAGGTCTCACCAGAAACCAACCCCAACGGCACCTTGGTTTTGGACTTCCCAGCCTCCAGAACTGTGAGAAATAAATTTCTATTGTTTAAGCCTCCCAGTCTGTGTTATTTTGTTATGGCAATCAGCCTTAGTCTGCTCAAGCTGCTGTAACAAAATACCATAGATTGGGTGGCTTAAACAACAGAAATTTATTTCTCACAGTTCTAGAGGCTGGGAAGTCCAAGATCAAGGTGCCAGCAGATCGGGTGTCTGGTGTCAAAGATAAATACACTTGAAAACACCAATATATAAAGGTACATGCACCCCTGTGTTCATTGCAGCGTTATTCACAATAGCCAAGACTTGGAAGCAACCTAAGTGCCCATCAAGGGACGAATGGATAAAGAAGATGTGGTATATATACACAATGATATTAACTTCTAACTTAATTGCATGTTGGTCCCATATCATGACCTGTAAGTTATCTATTATTTAAAATTTGTTGAGGCTTTCTTTATGATCTAGTACATGATTTTAAAAAACTCTTTAGTGTGTGCTTAATAAAAAATGTGAGTATACTCTACTTATTAATGCAGACCAGATCTTCTATATTTTTGTAGATTTTTTTTTTAGTCTACTTGACCAATCAATAATTGAGAGAAGCAGCATTAGAAGATACTCCTTAGATTTTAATTCACCAGTTCTGAGGGTTTGGAGAGGTCCAGAATGACTGTCAAAGTTAGTCCCCACCTGTTTTTCTCAGCTCTTCACCAATACAGGGTTTCTGCCCTGCCCTGAGTGTACTCCCAAGGAAGTCTAGACCAGAGATCTGAGTCCCAGCAGCTGCGGGGGGAAGCACTATTGTCTCAAGATTTAGGAGGGGGAGAAGCAAGAGCAGAAATCTCAAGAGGTTCCTTTGCTTTTGTATCCTCCCTCACCCCACCACAGGGGTTTCTCAGAGTTTCTCCTTTTCTTGGTATTTTCCATACCTGGTCCCTTTGGGGTTGATCTTGGGCAATGGGGAGCCAGCAACTCTAGTTCATTACCTTGGTAGGGACCAAACTGGAAAATCCTAGAAATGGAATTGCTTGAACACCTCTTCCCACATTAAACCTGTGTTGCCTCCTGTATTTTCCATTTTTTCTGTGTGTGGCACTACCAACATCCAATCACATAAACCAGAGTAGTGTTTTTTCAAACCTGTGGGTGGGATAATAGAAAATATTAGGGGGCTTATATAAGGGTAAATATTATTTTGTGAAACTTTTATTTCATTGGTATGTGTACATGCACAAATACTCATAAGTATGTGTACTGGACTGTGCTGAAGAATATACTAGTGTGGATTGTGGTCCAAAAAGTTGAAAAACACTGGATTAGAGAATTTGACCCATCCTTCTGCCTTACCTCCTACAGTCATTGAATTACCAAATCTGCTGATTCTACTTCCTCAATATTTCTCAAATTTATCCCATTTTCCTCTTCCCTACTAACCACTGCTCTAGTTCCAGCCCTTTCTGGACAACTGCAACAGCCTCTCAGATCCACGCTCCACTTTTCCTTATTCTTATCAGAATAATCTTCCTGAAATGTAAATTTTGCTTATTTAAATCCTTCTGTGGTACCCTATTGCCCATAGATAACTTCCAAGCTTTATAATATGGCCTCTACCTACCTCTCTAACTTCATCTGCTCCCATTCCGCTATCACTGGTAACACCAAACCACTTTCAGTTTTCCTCACCCTCCCTGAAGAGTTTTATTTTACTCATTCTTTCACTTTTGCCTGGCGTGGGAAGGGAGGATCCTTTACTTCCACCCCTATTACCTGGTGAACTCCAGCTTATTCATTCTCACTTTGTACAGGAAGTCTTACACCCCTACCTCCCCTGCCCCAGGTATTCCTCTTCTATATTTCCAGAACATTCTGGCCATTTATCATTACACAGCCAAGTTGTTTTTAAATCATCTATTTAGGTTAGTGTTTACTTCTTTTATGGAATGACCTGGTCACATTCATTTTAGTACCTAAAACAATGTCTGGCTCATATTGGATGTTCAAATGTTGGTTGAATAACTGAAGATCCAGAAAGTTGAAGTGCCTTTTTCAAGATCATGTTGCTCATAGGTGACAAAATTGAGACTGGAAAACAAATGGCTCTTTTATTGCCTCATGCTACAGACCAGTACCCCTTCTAGTACATTATGTAAAACTGGATAAGTACATTTATTGTGCAATATTGAATAAGTCATTTTAAGGTAGTTTGCTAATAATTAAGATGATTAAATTATCCTTTGTAAAAAAAATCAGATTTTTACATACTGTATCTATGGGAGCCTGTTTCTGGTGCATGAAGTTTTGCATGAAATTTAAGTTTGCAAAGAGGTAAAACAGTGCAAGTAGATTCAAAAGTAATGTAGAAAAATCAAAATGGCCCTTTAGTGAGTATATTTTGAGAAGGCAGTTAAAATAAAAAAAAATAATGTGACAGATTCCAGGCATACTGTTTAAAAGATTATGTGAGCTTTAGTTTGGAATACCTAGTAGATGCAAGTTCTGACGTATAGTGATTCTTGTGCTTTCAGCTTCTTCCATTTTCTAGAACATTGCAGAAAACAGTCGGGATTTAGAAACTAAGACCCATGCATCAATTTATGGAAGGATAGAGATATCCTTCAATCTGGGTGTATTTCCAATTTCAGAAGTTTTTAAAGAAGCAGAAGTTGTTTTAAATGTGAAGCATCAGAAAAAGAAAAAGCCTCAGAGCTGAAATATTCCTTAATATCGTCCAATATGCTATGTATATGTGTGAGAATTTCCCCAATTGTTTCAAAAAAGTGTTTTTACAATTGGTATGTTGAAACAGGATCTAAACACTGTCCACACATTGTTTGGTTGATATGTCATTGAATCTTTCTTTATCTATAACAGTTTCCTCTCCCTTTTTTTCCCCTCATGCCTTTTATTTATTGGAAAAAAAATTTGTGCTGTTCATTTTCTCATTGTGTTGCAAAGTCGGTGAAAGTAGGAACGTATTGTTTTAGCACTAAGAATTGTGCCTGGCACCCAGTAGACATTTAATTGATATCTGTTGAATAATGTTAATAATACTCAAGATCTTTATTTTGTCCCTGCAGGTTGATCCGAAAGACTACACTTTCAGTGGACTGAAGGATGAAACAGTAGGTCGCTTACCTGGGAAAGTGGCAGGACAACAGTTTCTCATTCAAGACTGTGAGAACTGTAACATCTATATTTTTGATCACTCTGCTACGATCACTATTGATGACTGTACTAACTGTGTAATTTTTCTGGGACCCGTGAAAGGCAGTGTGTTTTTCCGAAATTGCAGAGATTGCAAGTGCGTGTTAGCCTGCCAACAGTTTCGTGTGCGGGATTGTAGAAAGCTGGAAGTCTTTTTGTGCTGTGCCACTCAACCCATCATTGAGTCTTCCACAAATATCAAATTTGGCTGTTTTCAATGGTACTACCCTGAATTAGCTTTCCAGTTCAAAGATGCAGGGCTAAGTATCTTCAATAATACCTGGAGTAACATTCATGACTTTACACCTGTATCAGGAGAACTCAACTGGAGCCTTCTTCCAGAAGATGTTGTAGTTCAAGACCACGTTCCTCTGCCTATTACCGAAGAACTCAAAGCTGTCCGTGTTTCCACAGAAGCCAACAGAAGTATCGTTCCAGTATCCCGGGGTCAGAGACAGAAGAGCAGTGATGAATCATGCTTAGTGGTATTATTTGCTGGTGATTATACTATCGCAAATGCCAGGAAACTAATTGATGAGGTAAGGAGAGAGAGAGAACAGAAACAGACATACACCTAGATAGAAACACACTGCTTTCTGAAGAACGTCCATTCTTTTTAAATTGGCTATTAGAAATTCAGGCAATACTTAAGTTATAGTCCTCTGCCCCCTACAGATTTATCTGTAAGCTGGTTGCTTAGGCCTCAAAATACTTTCCCAAAGAAACTTTTTAAAAAGATAATTCAATCCAGGAGCAACGGTTGCTGTGTTGGTGGGTGCTCCAGTGGGGAGGCAGCAGCAGGATGCATTGATTATCCATTAATCAGATGTTCTTCAGAAGGAGTCTGTTTGGGTTTACAAATCAAACTTCCAGAAATAGATAAGTGAATGGAAGACTCATCAAGTCTCTTTTTGAATGGATTTTTTTTTTTTGTGAGGAAGATCGGCCCTGAGGTAACATCTGCCAATCCTCCTCTTTTTTTTGCTGAGGAAGACTGGCCCTGGGCTAACATCCATGCCCATCTTCCTCTACTTTATATGGGACGCCGCCACAGCATGGCTTGCCAAGCTGTGCGTCAGTGTGCGCCCGGGATCCGAACCGACAAACCCCGGGCCGCTGCAGCAGAGCGCGCGCACTTAACTGCTTGCACCACCGGGCTGGCCCCTTGAATGGATTTTTAAAAAGTTGTAACAGTTCTGTCAAAAGGAATGATTTTAGGAAAAAAAATAAAAATGACTACCTCTCTGTAGCTGTACATTCTACAATGTAGAAAACCCATGTCTGAACTCTACAGAGAATATCTGAGGTCTAGTTTTCAAAAACAACAGAAACCAAAGTATAATTTTAAGACTTTGATATTTTCTTTTTTGATTATGCAAATCTGATAAAAACATGCTATGAATCTGGTAAGATATAGAAAAAGTGCTTCTGGCCTTTGAGCTGTTTAATCTCATGTTAATCCAACATCTGAGAGGTAAATATTTTCATTATACTATATGGAGATTTTTTAAAAATAATATAGTTTTAAAAAGATGTAATTATTCAGGCTAAACTCCTTTTTGGTAGGTAATGAGAAGTGGATATAAAGAATATATAGCATATTTAAAGAAAGAAGCCATCAAAACAAACTGTCTTCATGAGTCATCAGATGTTCTTAACCTTTTAACTTTTGGTATCTGATGTATGAAATGGCAGTGTTGTGTGCACTTGAAAGCAATATGACCAGGAAGAGTGATATTCTTTAGATGTCCTTCTGGATTACAAAATAATTAAAAACAAACAAAAATCTAACAATAACAATAATAATAATAGCTAACACTTATATAGTGTTACTATATACCAGGCACTATTGTAAGGGATTTAAATGGATTAACCCACTTAATTCAGAATAACCTGTGAAATAGGTGCCATTATTCCCCTTTTTACAGATAAGGAAAATGAGCCAGAGAGAGGGTAAGTAATTTGCAAAAGGTCACTCAGCTGGTAAACAGCAGAACCATGATTTAAATCCAGGCAGTCTGGCTGTGTAGGCCACATGCCTTAACCCTCAAGCATGCTGCTACTATGCTGCCTCAGTGGTAAAGGAAAGTTGATGAGAGCCCAGTGGGGCAGGAATGTGACCAAAAGTGCATGGAGTTGGGGCCGGCCCCGTGGCGTAGCAGTTAAGTGCGCCCGCTCCGCTGCTGGCGGCTGGGGTTCGGATTCCGGGCACACACCGAGGCACCGCTTGTCAGGCCATGCTGTGGTGGCGTCCCATATAAGGTGGAAGAAGATGGGCACAGATGTTAGCTCAGGGCCAGTCTTCCTCAGCAAAAAGAGGAGGATGGATGTTAGCTCAGGGCTGATCTTCCTCACAAAAAAAAAATGCATGGAGTCAAGGCAAATACTACCCTCCAGCCTAGAAGGAAAAACCCTGGGACTTTCTGGCTAGAGTGATCCTATCTAATTCTGAAATCAGAATTAAAGAATGAAAAGAGAACAAAAAGAAGAAAATACCAAGTACCTGTGAAGAGGGTATCAAATGTGCTGAAAGACCAGCGACTCACATATTAAGAGAGAGATTACATATTTTTTAAAAATGAAGCTCAAGTTCCTAGGAAAATATGTCTAAAAGATGGTTAATATTGAGATGGAAAAGTAAAACTTGAATCTCATTTCATAACACAAATATCTTAGGACAGCTTAGACTGGAACTGTGATTGCTAACTCTGGTTTTGTTAAACCCTACGAGTATCACAGAATTTTGTTTCACGTTTTTATAAATTAACCATATCATAATGGTCTTTTTGAGATAGGAAGTATAAAACTTGAGAGGGTAGAAAGTCCAGAAAAGCTGACTAAAGCAGTGCACATTCCCTTTGGAGTCAAGAGAAGTTACTGGGCCTCAGATTTCTCACCTAAAACTCAGATTTCTTGCTGGCTCTTACCTACAGCACAGATATGCACAGGATAAATTAGAGTAAAAGCATGCAGTTCGAATTGTTTGGGAGTGAAATATTGCATAATTAAGTTGGGTAGTTACCACTGTTTTATAGTCTTTAGAAGAATTTTAATGAAAAAGAGTTTCTTCAAATATCTGCAGTGAAATATCAAAATAGATATAGTTTCATAGTTCGTTATTTGTTTTTAGGTAATGGTATTTTGAATTAATCATCTTTTGTCAGTTTATGTGTCTGACTATAAAATGAGAGGTAACGAGCTGTCTAGAAAATTAGAAACAGATGTAGGATTGTTTCTGCTATTTTAAGTAACTTTGCAGTCATCATGTGGCAGTGATGTCCATGTAATTTTCTACTTTTTTATGTATGTTTTTTCTGAGGAAGCATTGAGGGCTTTGAAAAAGGATTTAAGTTTGATTCCAATTTGATGGAATGGTATGGAATAATGTAGCCATAGAATGAAATACTGTCAACCATTACAACTGATTTTATAGTAGAATAGCTGGAAAATGTTCACAATCAAGTAAGTGAAAATTTGTAGAATATTATGTAAGTATCTGATTTGTTTTTAAAGTAGGTAAGTCTGGAAAGTTATATATACTAAAATGTTAACAGTTGTGGTTATTCTTAGGAAGTGGATTAAGGGCAGATTTTTTTGTTTGTTTATTGCAGTAACATTGGTTTATAACATTGTATAAATTTCAGGTGTACATCATTATACTTCTATTTCTGCATAGATTACATCATGTTCATCACCCAAATACTAATTACAACCCATCACCACACACTTGTGCCGAATTATCCCTTTCGCCCTCCTCCCTCCCCCCCTTCCCCTCTGGTAACCACCAATCCAATCTCTGTCTCTATGTGTTTGTTTGTTGTTGTTATTATCTACTACTTAATGAGGGAAATCATACGGTATTTGACCTTCTCCCTCTGACTTATTTCACTTGCATAATACCCTCAATGTCCATCCGTGTTGTCACAAATGGCTGGATTTCATCGTTTCTTATGGCTGAGTAGTATTCCATTGTGTATAGCAGATTTTTCTTTTTTGTAATTCTATGGACTTTACAATGAACATGTATTATTTCTGTAATGGGAGGAAAAGAAAACTGGGAGAGTAAAAGGAAGTATACCTATATGGCATCTTTAGCTGGTAGCACTTTGGTTGATATTTCTTTGTTTCTATATTTTGTTTTTCAAATGTTCTGTATTGAGCATATATGTTACTTTTATAATTAAAAACCCAATAGGCTTTGCTAACAAACAATTAAGTAGTTGAATGACTTTGCATTTCTTAAAACTACTTTCATAATTATTTAAAAAATTAATATGTTCTCATTGTAGAAAACTGTAGAAATGAAGAAGAGTAGAAATAAGCTTAAAAATCATCCATAATGTACTGTACCTTGAATAGTCTTTTTAGGAATAATTTTCAATTTATTTAATCTGTAATCAGATTAATTGGGTTTGAATCATAGCTCTGTTACTTAATAGTTGTGTGACCTTGGGCAGGTTTCTTAACCACTCTGTGCCTTAATTTTATCATCTGTAAAATGAGGGTAATAAGAGTACCTATCTCATGAGAGGGTTAAATGTGTTAAAAATATAAAGTACACAAAACTGCCTGGCACAGAGGACGTACTCCATAAATGTTATCTATCATTATTGTGCTATACTGTATAAATTTATATCATGCTTTTTAAAATTAATATTATTACATAAGCTAGTCCCCATTTTATTATTTATTATATTTGATGAACTATGGTATTTTATCATGTGAATGTACCATAATTTACTTAAACCATTCCCCTCTCATTGGACATTTGCAGTATCACCAAACTAAAGCTTCCATCTGTTAGTTTCAGTCAAAGAAAATTTTTTAACTATGTTTTAAATTTTGAGGTACAAGTCATGTTTATTATAATCTTAACATTAGGCATTGCGGTACTAATTCTTAACTAGAACCGCCCATCTGGAAGAAAGAATCTTGTGTACGTGCAAACTTGTTATAGCAAACACCGTGAATTTGAGTCATAACTAAAACAAAAATCAGTGTGCTGTGTTGCATTTTATACAGAAAAATACTAGGATAAGAAAATATTGTTTTAATCTGAGAAAGTCATTTTAAAATCTACGTGAAATTTTATTTTCCACAGATGGTTGGTAAAGGCTTTTTCCTAGTTCAGACAAAGGAAGTGTCAATGAAAGCTGAGGATGCTCAAAGGGTTTTTCGGGAAAAAGCACCTGACTTCCTTCCTCTTCTGGACAAAGGTACCTTCTGGATGATTGGTATACTTTTGTAGTTATTCTCTTGACATGCTGATTTGATTTACTCTTGCCTTTAAGCATTTCTCTTACATTGCTTTCTCTTTCTCATTTGTTTTATGTTTTTTTCTATTACTGTTCAGAAATGTCAAAATTTCACATCATTCAAAAAGCCCTATACAATTGGAAATTAGGCATTATGATTTTTTCCTATTCTATCATCTTAGTACTTGAAAGTCATTTTATTATTATGTATTTTATTATTTTTAATTATTATTTTATTATTATTGTATTATAGTGAGTGACCATTTCATTCTCCCTGCCCAGAGTTATCAAGTGCCCAAAGCACTTGATAAGGATTCTTTCTGCCTTCAGTGTGCTTTGACTATACTGGAAAAGAAATAAGAAATATACATAAAATGGTATACTATTTTATGTATTTAATATAATTGATTAACTTTTTATGCATAATTAGGATTGTTTTCCCCAGTGGGTGAATGCCTCCAATAAATTTCAGATATTGGAAATATGTCTGCAAACAGAAGAACTAGAGTTCATGTGCCCTCCTGAAGGGCTGCTGTCTGCCTGTGTGTATTTGAAGGTGTACTGATTCTAGAGGACAGAATACTATTTATTTGTCAGAGCGGGGACATTGTTTGCTCAAAGCTCATCCGACTTTTCTTGACTAGCCTGAGCAAATATGTATAATAATATGCAATGCTGATGGGGTATACCCTAGAAAGAGGGCACATCTGCATTTACATGCTCTTTATATATAAATAAGATGTAATAAACTGCAAAAACCTGTGTGAAAATGTTGGAGAATTGTTAGGATAATTTTAATAACTAATGCTGGGTGTGACTCAGCCCTTAAGTATTAATACAGTATTTCATATACCTTTGTGGTTACTCTAGTAGTATCAAGGATTCGCTCCAACCCAGTGCATGAATCTATCCCAGATTACATATAGGAAATTGTGACCTGGCTCCTTTGATGCAACCATTTTGACGTGGGAACATTCTGATGGAACCTTGAAAATGAACCTTTAAACTCCCAGCAGCTTTTACAAATTGAATCAAGTAATAGTGTAATGAACATCCTAAAGTGTGAGAATTAGGGATGAAGTGAGCATATGAGTAAGTCTAAATTAATGATTTATGTACTCATATACTGTTAGTGAAGTGGTTTCATAGAATTGCTCCAACCCAAATATAATATCTGTGTTTAAGTAACACAACACACCACGTGGAAGAAGTAAAATGTTCTGTTCTTACAAAAAGTAGAACCAAAACCAATGGGCAGATGTTATAGGAATTTCAGCAAATAAACATCATATAAACAGTTTTTAAAACCAGAGATACCCATAGGAAGTACTCAAAGACTATTGAGGTCATGTCAAAAGGTCACAGGAGCCAGCTTGAAGGAGTTTCCACTGGCCAAATTTGGGACAATTTGAGCATCAAAAAGAATAATGAAGGGAATTTATTTAACAACAACAGAAATCCATGCATCCAGTCATAATAAAAAAGAAGGGAAGAGGAAATAAAGGAAAGCTTTTCTGCTGTTTACCGAATACTGTGAGCTAATAAATGTAGAAGGAATGATAGACTATTTCCAACCCTCGATGTAATAATTCAGACAAAGATTATCAGTGAATGCTAAAAGTATTGGGGTACAAGCTGATAAGAAATAGGATATTTATACATTTCTAATTCAAAGAGGAAGTGTACCTTTACAGCAGAGATTTGATGATTACCACATTAACCCAGTGATCAAACAGCAGCACTGATGGCCGGGCAGCTCCACTTCGGTAGCCTGGAGTTCGCAGGTTCAGATCCCAGGTGTGGACCTGCACACTGCTTATCAAGCCATGCTGTGGCAGGCATCCCACATATAAAGTAGAAGAAGATTGGCACAGATGTTATCCCAAGGCCAATCTTCCTCAGCACAAAGAGGAGGATTGGCAACAGGTGTTAGTTAGCTCAGGGCTAATCTTCCTCACCAAAAAGGAAAAAAAAGAAATACACAACATCACCTATGAAGTATTCTTGCCAAAAATATTTAACCTGAATCTAATCAAACCAAGATTTAATTTCTAGTTTATAGGAAAGAAAGGAAATCTAGGGATATGTTAAATGACACCATGAGGAAACAATGAGACAAATCCAAAATTGAAGACATTCTACAAGACAACTGGCCAGGACTCTTCAGACGATGTCCTGGAAAACAAACAAAAATGATGGAGGACTGTTCTTGGATTAAAAGAAACATAACAACTAAATGTAAGGGATGACCTTAGTTGGATCTTGGATTGGGGTAGGGTGAGTTATAAAGCTGTAAAAGGCATTTTGGGGACAACTGGGGAAGTTTGAAGATGATACTATGGAATTATTGTTAGTATCCTTAGGTAGGATAATGGTATTGCGGTTATGCAGGAGATGCATACTGAAGTATCATGATGTCTGCTATTTTCAAATGACGCAGCAAAACAAAAATAAAGTGTGTATGTGTGCATGTGTGTGTGTGTATAGTATATGATAAAGCAAATGTGGCCAAATGTTAACATTTGATGGGTGTAGGTGAAGAGCAAATGGATATTTATGTTATTCTTTCAACTTTTCTATAGCGTTTGGAATTTTTCAAACTAAAAAGTTAGGAGGGCCAGCCCTGATGGTCTAGTGGTTAAAGTTCGGCACACTCCACTTTGGTGGCCTGGGTTTGGTTCTCAGGCATGAAACTACACCACTCATCTGTCAGTGGCCATGCTGTGGCAGTGGCTCACATGAGAAAAAAAGAGGAAGATTGGCAACAGATGTTAGCTCAGGGAGAATCTTCCTCAGCAAAAAAAAAAAAAAAAAAAAGTTGGGGAAAATTTTTAAGTTGCCCAATAGTGCATTGATTGATGTGGAATAGTGAGCAGGCTGTCAGTGGAGATATTCCAGCAGGAGTTGGATGGATTGGCTCCTTATCTAAAAGTGGCCATCAGTCATTCTAAGGAGGATTTCTCAACCTCAGCACTATTGACATCTTAGGACAGATAATTCTTTGTTGTGGAGGGCTGTCTTGTACATTATAGAATGTTTAGTAGCATTCCTAGCCTCTACTGACTGGGTGCCAGTAGCACACTGCCCCAATTGTGGCAACCAAAAACGTTTCCAGACATTGCCAAATGTCCCCTGGGGGGTAAAATTGCTCCCAGTTGCAAACCACTGTTCTGAGCTGAGGGTAGACTTATTCTTTTGAAAATTCACTGTTATTTCAAATAGTTTGTACTTTAGAGTCTCTAAATTTTCCTCCTCAAAGTAGTCATAGTTATGTACTTTCAATTAATAAAGCTATGTGACTGCTTATGAGAGAATTCATTGTGTTTTCCATATTGAGAATCTTCAACCTGACTAATCCTCAGAACAATCTAGGGTGCTTTTAAAGATATAAATTTCCAACTCCTACCCCAGAAATATTGATTCAAATATCTCTGAGACATACCCTTGGAATATGCATTTTAAAAAGTTCCCCAGATGATTCTGATGAGTAGTCAGACTTGGGTTCCTTTGTTTTAGAGGGTCATTCATTCATTTTTTTCAACAAACATAGTAGATGAGACCTGAGAAGAAGCAGAGGAGGAATTAGATAATTTAGGGCCTTGTAAGCCACTGTAGAGACTGGCTTCTAATCTGAGTGAGATGAGAAGCTACTAAACATTTTTATTTGTGTTTTTTTAATAAACTTTTTATGTTGGAATAATTTTATATTTACAGAAAAATTGTGAAGGTAGTACAGAGAGTTTCCATATACCCTTTGCCCAGCTTCTCCTAATATTAACATAACCATGGTACATTTGTCAACTAACAAATTTGCGTTGGTAACATACTATTAACTTAAACTATAAACTTTATTCAAATTTCACCAGTTTTTCCACTTATGTCCTTTTTCTGTTCCAGAGTTCAATCCAAGATCCCACATTGCATTTAGTTGTCATGTCTCCTTAATCTCTTCTCCTGTGATAGTTCCTTAGTCTTTCCTTGTTTTTTATAACCTTGAAACATTTGAACAGTACTGGTAAGTTATTTTGTAGAATCTCTCTCAATTTGGGTTTGTCTGATGTTTTCTCTGGTTAGATGTGGGTTATGGGGTTGGGGGAAAGAAATGAAGTGCCCTTCTCATCACATCACATCAGAGGGCAAGTGATATCAACATGACTTATCACTGGTGATGTTGACCTTAGTGACTTGGTTCAAGTGGTATCTGCCGGGTGTCCTGAACACTGTAAAGTTCCTGTTTTTCCCTTTCTATACTCTGTTTTTTGGAAGTTGAGTTACTAAGGCCAACCTATACTCAAGGAGAGGGCACTTAAGCTCTACCTATTAGAGAGGGGATTATGTACATATATTATTTGGAATTCTTACATTATTTGAAATTCTTCTTTAAGAAAGATATTTTCCCTTCTCTCCCATTTATTTATTCAATCATTTATGTCTGTCAGGGACTCATGGATATGTATTTTATTCTTTGAGTTATAATCCAATACTATCAAATTGTTCTAGTTTTAGCCTTGGGGAGCTCTTTTAGGTTGGTTCCTCTGTCCCTTTGACATGCCTTTTATTTCTTTTTCTTGCATTATTATGCTGGCTAAGACTTCCACTATGATGTGTAGAATAGTGAGAAGAGGACATCTTTGCCCTGTTACTGATCTCAGGGTGAAAGTGATTAGTCTCACCATTAAGAATGATGTTAGTTGTAGGTTTTTCATACATACCTTTTATTAGGCTAAGGGAGTTCCATTCTATTTCTAGTTTGTTGAGTTTTTATCACACATGGATGTTGAATTTTGTCGAATGCTTTTTCTGTGTTGATTGAGATGATCATATATTTTTTATTCTTGAGTCATTTAATCTGGTAAGTGACTGGTTGATTTTGAATGTCAAAGCAGCCTTGTATTTTTGAGATGAACTCCCTTGATCATGATGTATTATCCCTTTGATATACTGCCAGATTCAATTTGCTG